ATAGTTATATCCCTTCTTTGTTACAATACCTAAATAGCCAATGAGTTTACAACTGCTGACTATAGCATGTGATAGAACCTGATTTTCCTTTTCTCATCAACACTCTATGGTCTAGAACAAGAGTTTCAGTCTGAGGAACAGTACAGTTAAACCATTTACGGAGCAGTGGAAGACAAGTCTGAGTGTCCATTTTTGTGTACTTATCCTCACAATGGATACAGTAGAAGCTGGTCTACTGAAGACAACCGTACCCAACCCTTTGAGAAGACACTGGCAAGAACCTCCTCAGTACTGAAGCTTATGCTTTTGAGGAAGAACAGTATAGAATTAATAATAGTTATAATATTAAAAGAATGCTTTCAAATGACTTTCAAACTTTGGCATATGCTGTGGAGCTTGGTTTTTAAAGAAGAATGCTACAATAATACTGTAACTTCTGGCAGACCGAAACATCACAGCGGCAATGAGAAACAAGGAGTCTTCTTTTAAAAGGGAAAAGAATGCCCTTTTATTATGCCTTAAAAGGACTAACGCAGGCACTAAACAACCACTGAACCACACATAATGGGGAAACACAAGGAGGTCTGATGCTGGACTGTAAGGCACACGCACGGTGAGTAATTTATACAATGGCTAAGGACTTGTAAGGATCGGACAGGGTTCACGTTTGACACAGGCAAGGACTCGTGACAATATGGAATACAATATTTACAATTACACAAACAGGAGCTATTTACACATCCGCGGTGCATGCTGGGATATGCCAAATGGCCTTGCTATGCAGAGCCAACTCACTGGAGCTGTAATACCTTCAGCCTTCTACTGGAGAATAGTGATCATTATGCTTGACTTGGTACATGATATTTGGTATGATGATGAGTACTCAAACACAGGATGAACTGATTGGAGATATGACTAAAAACTCCATGTGCTAAGCTATCAATAGCATCTCTGACACATGCAAAACAGATGTGCAAAGACCCTAAACAAGGATTTCAATGTGATGATCTTTTATGCAGTGCAATATCAGCACCACTGTTTCCTCTATTTACAATCTATTTGTGAAATATAGATGTTCTATATTTATCTCCATGATATATCTTGCTGTTTGTATGTCAGATGAAAAAAGGCTCTCAGTTTTCAGTACACAGATACTAAAGGGACAGATCACCAGCCTACAACAACACCGAAGGATGAACAAAAGAGCTGAGCAGCCCTCCAAAAACCAGGTAGACAAAGAAGCTTCTTTCCATTTCCCCAGACGAATTAATCAACTAATAAGAAACAATACCTTGAACAGCTTTAACAGCTGCAAATAATGCTGGGGGTAGTAACCTCTGAGCCTTTGTACCTTATGGCATGTAGAACATCTCACTTCGTGTGAGATGATGTATGAGTCATGCAGGTTTCCAGCAGGTGGCGCACTGTGGCCTTCACATAGGGCACATTCTGAGTCATCCGCTGGCACATTCTCAGTAGGCAGTGCATGCAATGTGGTGCTACCCAACTGTGCTGGGAAAACGCTAGAACCTGTAGTTTTAAAAGAGATGAGGGATATTATTAGCCAACCTTTAACTTTACTATTCCAGAAATCGTTATCTGTGGGTGTGGTACCTTCTGATTGGAAGCGTGCTAATATAATGCCCATATTCAAAAAAGAGGATTGCATAACTGGAAAAGTAATGGAAGCTATAATCCAAGTGAAAATGGTAGATTACCTGGATTCAAATAACACTCTGAGAGATAGTCAACATGGATTTAGGAGAGGTAACTAATTTACTTGAGTTCTTTGAGGAAGCTACAAGCATGAGCAGCTCCCCCAGCTGGAAAGCAGTGCACTGACCTCATGAGAGCTGTTTGGATCTGGCCAGTGGCCTGTACTACGAAGCGGGGTTAGTGGCTTATCGGGGTAACTTGTCGAATTTAAGGTACCACAGTTTAAATGGACTTAATATTCGTTTACTTACATTTTGCCCAGACTACCTTAAATCCGACAAGTTACCCCGATAAGCCACTAACCCCGCTTCGTAGTGTAGACCACAGCTCTGCAGTTTAACCGAGAGGCAATCTAAACAAAGCTGATGGACCACATCACAGGGCAGCAGACAAAAAAGCACTGCTTTTTTCTAAGACCTCGCAGTGATTACACAAGAAGATTGTCTTTCATAGCAAAAACCTGGCAACCACTTGTGACGGGGAATGCAGAGATCTCAAATACTGAGCATACCTTCAAATTAATAGGCACCAGCTACGTTACTATGATTACGGTCTTTATTGTGCATCATGGACAGGATTTGTGAAGCCATCTCAAAAAAAAGTTTGTATTTGTATAACAGGTATGTGTAAACAAAGGAATGCAAATCTCAACACACAGAGCTATGCAGTACACCAAATCTTTTCTGGTGCAAAAACAAAATTTTGTAATTTTCCTGGTTTGTTATTAGCTAAAATGATCTTTAGGGGGGATACAACCTGAAGTGAAAAACAACTTACTATTTCTGGGCAAAGATATATTTTTGGAATGAGAGTTCTGCATTACATCCATCCCGGTCACATGACTCCTTTCTCAGTGGCAGTGAACCACAAAGCTGTATCACAAGCATCCAATGACATGCAAGCCTGTCTTGTAAATAGTCTTAACCCTTTGAGGTACAAGGAGTGGAACAGATAGAGGCTGAAGAGTAGAAGAACCCAGAATTACTTCACGAGGGAAACAAACACAGTGTCTATTGACACAGTCAAGTCACCTTCAGCTCTGGAAAGGTGCTATATAAATGAAAGATTATATTTATTATTATTATTATTATTATTATTATTATATGGCGCTTTTACAAGAGCTTGCAACAGGCTTTAGAGAGAACTAGAGGTGTGTCCACTGTCTCTGACACCAACCAGATCTTGAGAAAAATGTATGTACATTGTAGATACAGAGAGTCCTGTGGACACGTCAGATACTTCAATGGCTTAAAAAATGTGACTGACAGTAACTACCTGTTTTGAAAAAAGGGTTCTGCCTGTTCCACGTCCAACAATGAGAAATGTGAAAGCAGTGTGCTTACTGATGATAATGCCAGAATTGTCAACAACACTTACACAGCAAGAGGTCTGACTGATTGACTGAGGACCACGACAAACAGTAACAAGCCCCCCCACCAACAATCACTCAAGCTAGACTGCATGATGACGTGTGCCCAGGTCTCCTGATGAAAGGCTTACAGTACCACTCAAAAGTCTGAGTATACCTGTTTGACACCAGGATTTTTATAATTATCTATACAGAGAAGCTGGGTATCTAAGGAGTGAATGTCGATTTTACAAACTGTGGATATTTAAAATATTGTGGTCGAATGTCCATGTATTTAGATGGATTGACAGATAGAATAGATAGGGTTGTGCAAAAATGACAGATTACGTACTAATCAAAAGTTTGGACACACCTATCCATATTATTTGTCTTGTTCTCTAATAATTATAAAGACATCACAATTATAAAATAACATGTGAAATATGTGAATTAACTCTATAATTATCCCACTGGGACAGGACACCAGAGACAGTCCAATTCAATCGGTTTCAGTATTCACTGGTGGAATAAGTGTAGTTCAGTTCAGAATGTACTTTGACTAATTGCATATTTTATTTCCCCTACTTCTCCTGGGGGGTGCTGCCTGGAGCTCTCAATCTATCAAGATGTCCAGCACACCCTGCAACATGTGACGTCGCCTCTTCCAATGACGTTCGTGCATCCAGCTCGCCGTTCTGCCTGTGTCATCCTCCATGTATGACCCGCTC